TCCCAGCCCCGCTAAAGTCTGTAAGTATAGAGCCTTTTAAGCCCACTCAAGTGTTCTGGCCAGAAAGACAAGGTTTTAGACATAAGAGGGCCCTAAAGATCATCCTCCCAGCCCTCTCATTTTACAGATGAAGAGACAGGGTGATAGCTGTTTCCGCCTGGGTGGTGGGAGTTGGGGTGGTTGACAAGTGATGATGGTGGAAGAGTGACAGCAGTGGCTAGAGAATGGGTTAGAGCAGGGAGGGGCAACTATGGCCTGTGGGCTGATCCAGTCCTCCACTTGTTTCTGTAAATAAAGTTTTATTGGAGCACAGGCACACCCATTTGTTTACAGATTGTCTGTGGCTGGCTCTGCCCTCATTATCAGAGTTGAATAGTTGCTGCAGAGACTATATGGCCCTCAACATCTAAAATGTTTACTACCTGGCCCTTTACAAAAAAATGTTTGCTGACCCCTGGGAAAGACAGAGGCACACAGGTCGATAGAAGTTATCGGTAACTTTCTAGTTTTTAGAGCATTAGGTTCACAGGTGTTTGTTATATTATGATGCATTAATGACTGAATGCTACATATGGGCCATTGATGGTCATGTATCATCAAGGAATGATTATTATTAAATTCTGGGCACCTGAAAACAGACCGACAGGAAAGAGGGAACAAAGGGAGGGAGGAAGGAAGAAACCATTTGGCTCTTATTAGGATTTAAATGTCTTTTCATCACCTGCACCTGACTTTTCTCCACTGTATCTCTGATGCTCAAAGAATGCGCGACAGAAGGACAATAGGGTAAAGCAGATTTTCCAGGAAGGGCGCAGGATGAGTATACTGGGTTCTGTGAGACTGAAAGAGGCTTGGCCAAAGGAGGAAAGGGATCCCAAAGAGCAAGCTGTTAAAGATGGTCACAACCCGATTTCTCAGCTTCATTCACAAGGAGCCTCTTCCCGTGGTACGTCAGAGTGGCACGGGGGCCAGGCCTCCTGGTCTTTTGTTAGGACCTCCCTCCTGCCTGTCGAGTCAAGGTTGCCCTTCAAATGTTAGCAGCATAGAAGTCCTGGAAGGCATTCTCATGGTAATTGTGAACATTTATTAAGGCTCTCTGGGCCGTGACATGTATTGCTTTATTTAATCCTGAGAACAATCTTGTGGAGCAAGGATGACCGTTATCCCCACGTTAGAGATGAGGACATGAGGCTCCCAGCTGGCAAGTCCCTTGCTCATAGACATCACGCTGGTAAATGGTGAAGCCGAATTCAAATCCAGACCCATCTGATTCCAAACCCCACACTCAGCTGCTCTTTTATCCTGCCTGGGGCCAGGGATTCCACTTCACACTGCCTCAAGAAAGGCATGGTTTTTACCTTTACATATAGTCACCGTGGGCACGGAACATTGTGGCATGTTCCAAGGGAGCGTTGGCCATTGAAACCTCACCTCAGCAAACGGCAGGGGATTTGCATTTTCAAATAGACGTTCCAGTCCCCGGTGGGAAAGTTCCCAGCAGCTTCAATCTGAGAACAGTCACAGTTCAGTGATGTCTGATGCTCACAGGGGTGGCTTTATTGTTTCATATGTGAAAAATGAGGAAAGGGCCAGAACCTCAGCATCAGGGAAATGATGAAAGATTGAGAAGTATTTCCAAAGTCACACGAACCGAAAAGTCAATTCGATGGCGGGGTGGGAGGATGAGGTGGGAGCAAGCAAAGAAGCAGCTGAGAAGTATTTGTGGCACCAGGGAGAAGAGATTGTGCTGTTCACTAAAAGAAACCATGGCTATGAATTTCAGGGCATCAAGACCCTGTCAACACAGCTAATCCCCACGGATGTTGGCTGAATAAGCCCTCGATGACCAAACAAGTGCACTGTGGAAACCGTGTCAGCCTCCAGCAGGCCAATTTGTCCTCATATTACACACTCCGCTGGCTCTGTTGCTAGACCCCCAGACTTTGGATCCACGGCGAGCATCCCCCAACCCGACAAGGGTTGACATAGCGTGGTTAATAAGTCAACAGAATTCAGAAACCACGACCGGATTAAGAAGGCAGTTTTATTTCGGTGCCCTGGACTTCAAGCAGATTAAATAATCAAAAAGCCTGAGCCATCGGGGTCATGTTTGAATGCTACAGCTGTTCACCGAGGTTTGACAAACATTCTTTCTGTGGCTGGTCGTCTGAATGGGAAAGACAGGGATGAACTTGGGGAAGCAGACACTTTAAGAAAGCAGAGGGGGCACAATCAAAAGATCCTCTTGGGGAAAACAGTCCCAGCCAGATGGAGACAGGGAAGGACTGCTTAAATAAGTGGTCTCCTGAAAGCAACAAGTGTTTTCTGCACAGAATAAAAGCACAAGAAGAATTCAGAAAACGTGAATGAAAAGCTGGACTCGGAGTTTGCCATGCCCTCAGTTTACTGATCTGCAAATTAATAAAGGTGGGCTACGTGTTTGACGAGGAAGCCTGTGGAGACTCAGTCATGAAAGGTGAGCCATGATTAATCCCCTTGCACCTCAGAAAAGTTCTCTAAGAGAGGAATGGGGTCCCCTCAAACAGGAATCTGTGGAAAACCTATTTTCAAGATTTCTTTCTCAAAAGACCAAACAGATCTAAAAAAAATGTCTCTGATGGGAGGATTTATGTTTGTGCCATGTTGAGTCAGAGGAAGGGGGCAGGGTCAGACGTAGCGATCCAGGATCAGACATGCAGTTGGCACATCATGGGCCATTTCATAGAATACTGTGTGCTTCAAGTTGGAGTTCATATATCATTCCCTTTGGAAGGGGGTGAAGTGAGAAGAAAGAAAGACAAACTGGCTACAATCTCAGAAAGACAAGCCTTTCGTTAATAGAGCAGTGGATTCTGTGGAAAATTTCCTCTGGTTTAAGATACAACTTCCTGCGACTAATTAATGCTTGAGACCCACAGCTAAAGTGCGGGGTGTCAACTCATCTCTGACAGGAAGATATTTTGGCTTTGAAAGGAGTCACTTCTTTATTTTTTTTGCAAAATTATAGAAAGGAAAACAAAGGTTTTGCTCTTTTATATTTTGGAAAAGGGAAGGGGACTGTGACGTTCTGCATCCCCCGAGCGAAACTGAGCAGAATCTCCTTCAGAAGGCTCTCCAAACATCCCCCCATCGCCCTAAAGCCCTGTTCACATCAGGAGAGAATTCAAGGGACAAAGGGAAACAGGCTCCAGTGCCTTTGACAGCCACATTGTGTTATTGCCCTAGTTAAGGCCCAAAACAAACAAACAAAGCCTCTTTCAAGAGCTTTTCTTATGAGTAGATAACTATCTTGAGTTTTAAATATTATTGTGTTGCCTTGTGAATTCCTCTACCAATGTAACAAAATGTCCTTGACAGATGTTTGCCATATTTAGAAATTCAAGTCTCAGGAAAAAAGAAGAGAGTGATACAGCTACTCTGGAGAATGATCCAGCAGTATCTAAACTCAGCATCCTCTCTGAACGTTCAAGGAGGCTCCTGTTGATGCTAGAGACCCTCTCACACATTTCCACGCGGCCAAGGAGCTCTGTGCAGGGATGCTCTTTGGAGCATCATTTGTAATGAAGAGAAACTACAACAACTCAAATGCTCATGAGTAAGGGAGTGGCTAAATGTTAAATTTGGCATGGTCTCACCCTGGAATACTCTACAGCAGTTAAAAGGAATGAAGTAGCTGTCTGTATGTCCATATGGATAGCTCAGTTTTGAGTGAATAGAGTAAATTGCAGAATGAAACAGGCTGATGATTATATTTATGTAGGTTTTAAGAAAACACTCTACCAAACAGTATCGTGTGTGTGTGTGTAAAAGTATTTGACAGGCAGTAAAGCACAGCAGGTAAGAACCCTGACAGGCTCTGGGAGCAGACTGCCTGGGTTGAAATCATGACTCTCCTACTTACTATCTGTGTGACCTTGGGCAAATGATTTAGCCTCTCTGAGCCCCAGTTTCCTCACCTTCAAAAAAGGGATAATAATAGAACCAGATTTACAAGGTTATGAGGATTAAATTAATATATATAAAGCAGTTAGAATGGTGCCTGGCTCAAAACACATGCTGTATGATTATTTGCCATTGTTGTTGTTATTAAGCATTGTTTTTAACAGGCCTAGTGGGATATATCAATAATGGTGGAGGAGAAGGGGGTTCATGTTGGAAAACATGACTTGGGTGCTAATCAAAGGGAGTTCAACTGTATCAGTAATGCATTGTTTCTTTGAGTTAGAAAAGAGATGAAAGAAATATGACAACCCCTGAATGATTGACAGAACTCTTTCAAAGGAACATAGGGGTTTATTATATTATTCTTAATGCTTTTCTGTATTTTTTAAATCTCTTGAATAAAAAGAGGGACAATCATCACTCATGGAATTATTACACGTGCAAAGATGGACATCAGTATATAGGAATTCTTTAGATCTGCCCTATCCAATATGGTACCTACTGGCACCATGTGGCTATTTATGTTTAAATTAATTAAAATTAAAGGCAAATAAAATTTCAGTTCCTTAGTTGCAACAGTCACATTTCAGAGCTCAGTACCCACATATATCTAATGCCTACCATACTGGACAACAGAGGCAGAACATTTCCGTTATCACAGAAAGCTCTACTGGGCAGTGCTGATCTGGAGCGTACTCTTCAGAAATGTGAATATCTGAACTCCCTATCATACTATGTTTCTGGCCCTAAATAATTCTGTTGCAACCTACAAAGAATATATGTCCCCAAAAAGATTTTTTTCACCTTTCTGTTTGATATCCTTAAGTCTTCCATCTTCTGATTACTGAAATTCTGAGAGGATCTGTTCCAAGGCTTCTGACAATAGTTAGCACAGAGTTTGCAATAGTTCTTGACACTGGGGATGCACCTGGTCCAGCCTGGGTACTAAAGATGGTAAACCACAGAACCTCTCTTTCAGGTCATGGAAGGGGTTAACTCAAAATCACATTAACTGTGAATTCAAAGGGTAACAAATGCTGGCACCGCTTACAAACTAGTTACTATCCCAATTTCTTTCTGCTTGTTGTAGGTGAACTGCTCCTGCTTTCAAGTGTGATTTTCCTGCTCCAGGTGGCGTGCCGCTGCCCAGAGAAGTGCCGCTGTCACTCATCTTCAAATTCTGTAGACTGCAGCCAGCAGGGTCTGGCTGAAATCCCTTCCGATTTGCCTCCTCAGACTCTAACGCTGCACTTACAAGACAACCAGATACACCAGCTTCCTGCTTTTGCATTTAGGTCAGTGCCACAGCTTACGACCTTGAACTTGTGCAACAATTCCCTTTCAAATCTGGCCCCAGGAGCTTTCCATGGACTTCGGCACTTGCAGGTCTTAAATTTAACCCAGAACTCTCTGCATTCCCTGGAAAGCAGACTTTTCCATTCCCTCCCACAGCTGAGGAAGCTTGATTTGTCATCAAACAACATAAGCTACCTTCCCACATCCCTGGGTGAGCCTTGGGAGAACCTAACCGTATTTGCAGTTCAACAAAACCAGCTTCAGCACCTCGATCGAGTGCTCCTAGAGTCCATGCCCGGAGTGAGGCTTTTATTTCTCAAGGACAACCTCTGGAAATGCAATTGCCACTTGTTGGGTCTTAAACTCTGGCTGGAGAAATTTATCTATAAAGGTCAGTAACGTCTATTTGGAAACCCCCGTCCGTGTGTTACCAGTCTAGAATGAACCTCATCTGTTCTCTGCATCAGAAGGAACACTGAGGAGAGTGTGCAAGGGGCTAGTATAAGCTTTTTCCCATTGATGGCATTTCATAGTATGGCAAAAGAGGCAAGGGAGTCATTAGAGGGAGTTTAAATTCAGGTATTGAAACTCATCTACAAATATGATTCATGGAGGTAAATTTCCACTTTTTTATTAACCACACATTAAATTATCTGGGAACTGTAGGCCCTTAAGAGAGGGAAACTCAATTGCCACCTAAATAACTGCTCAACTTTAAAGTCGTACCAAACGCTGATTTTTTTTTTTAGTTTATAAATTTTTATTTAGATACAACTGACAAATAGCATTATATTAGCTTCAGATGTACAACACAAATATTTTTTTCTTCTGATGAGAACTTTTAAGATTTACTTTCTTAGCAACTTTCAAATATACAATGTAGTATTATTAACTATAGACGCCATGCTGCACATTACATCCCCAGGAATTATTTATCTTATAACCGAAAGTTTGTGCCTTTTGATCCCCTTCACCCATTATCCCCAACCCTACCCTCCACCGCTAGAAACCACCGATCTGTTCTCTGCATCTGAGTTCAGGGTTTTGTTTTGTTTAGATTCTACATATAAATGAGATCATCCTGTATTTGTTTTTCCCTGTCTGACTTATTTCACTTAGCATAATGCCCTTAAGGTCCATCTATGTTGTTGCAAATGGCAGGATTTCCTTTTATGGCTGAATAATAGTCCATTGTGTGTGTATGTGTGAAAACCCAAATGCTAGTTTTCAAGTGTGATCAACTAGTGGCATGTGTCTCTCCTGGGGACTTTTCCCCTCTTTGTCTCCTTCTACCCATCTGACAGCTATAAATCTTAGCCAAGATGACCTCTTTTGCTTCAGCAAACACTACTGTTATTGACATTGGATGCAATAGGGCCCTCTCTCTAAAGTTACTTACTCTCTCTCTTTCGTTCTCTTCCTTCATTTTCTTTTCTTTTCTTTCTTTCTTTTTACTGACGTCAGAGTGGTTTATAACATTATATAAATTTCAGGTATATATCATTATATTTTGACTTCTGTACAGGCTGCATCATGTTCATCACCAAAAGTCTAGCTGCCATCTGTCACCATACAAACGTGCCCCATAGACCCTCTCGCCTTCCTCCCACCCCGACTCTTCCCCCGGTAATCACCAATCTGTTCTCAGTATCTATGCGTTTGTTGGTTGTTACTGTGTATCTTCCACATATGAGTGAAATCATACAATCTTTGGCTTTCTCTATCTGTCTTACCTCACCCAGCATAATGCCCTTAAGGTCCCTACCCTAAAGTTGCTATTACTTTAACCAGATGTTAAAAAGCAAAGCAAGATATCCTAGAATATTAAAGACAAGGGCCTATGGAAATCACCCAGGGGTCAGCAAACTACAGCCAGAGGGCCAAATCCAGACCACCTCCTGTTTCAGTAAATAAAAATTTTATTGGAACACACCCATGACCATTTATTACCTGTTGTCTATGGCTCCTTTGCACTATACAGGTGAAGCTAAACAGTTGCGAAAGAGACTACAAGGCAGAGCTTAAAATATTTACTATCTGACTCTGTAAAGAAAAGTTTGCAAGACCTTCTAACTCAATGCTAGCCTGTCATCAACAGGAGATGAAGCCCAGAGAGGTTCAGTGACTTGCCCAAGACCACAAAGGAGAAGCACAGATGAGAACAGCATGAATGGCTTTTGGGTCTTGGCCCTATATTCTTTCCTCTACATCACAGTGCTTTCCTCCTAACTTTCAAGCACCATTCATTCATTCATTCCTATACTTGAGTGCCTGTTATGTGCCAGGCACTTTTCTAAGCCCTGAGAAAAGATCAGTGAGTGAACAAGAAAATCCCTACCATCATGGAGCTTACATTCTGACAGCAGAAACAGGTGTAAAATGGCTAACAAATAAATATCCATATTCAGATAGCAGTTCGTGCTAGGGAAACAACGAGGCAGGGTGAGGGGAGAGAGAGTGATGGGATGGGGTTCCAGTTTACATAGGAAGGACAGGGAAGGCCTCCCCAAGGATGGGCATGGGTGAGCAGAACCTGAACAATGAGAAAGAATGAGCTGTGAGACCACTGGGGGAAAGGACAGCAAGTGCAAAGGGCCTGACAGGAGAAGCCTGGCTTGACTGAGGAGAAAAGGAGTGGCTGGAACAAAATGAGGGAGTGACAGAGCCAAGACAAGGCAACACATGTCCTCAGGGGCCAGGCCACGTGGGAACGTGCAGAGCAGACTGAGACACTCGCATTTTATTTTGGGTGACATGGAAATCTCTTGAAGACTTTTAGTCAGGGGAGCAATATATTCTGATTACATTTTTAAAGGTGACTCTGGTGACTCCAGGGAGAGCAGACAAAAGGCTGCGAAAGAAGCAGCAGGGGGACGAGGGAGAAAGGGATTTTAGTCTTCCAGGAAGGAAAGGATGGTGGCCCAAACCAGGGTGGTGAGAAGTGATCAACTTTGGGGGATATTTGGAATATTAAACTGATAGAAACTGCTCATAGGTTGGAGTGAGAGATGAAGAAAAGAGACTAATTATGGGAAACGCAATTTTTTTTGTCCTGCAGGAGTAATCAGACAAATGGTGATGCCAGTAGCTGATAAGGGGCACACTGGGGAATAGAGGAAGTAGGTGAGTGTGTGTGGGAGGTGGTGAATCGAGAGTTCAATTTGGGGCATGTCAAGTTTGAGATGCCCATTACCTATCCACCAATGAGTTGGTGGATATATGTTTGTGCCTGTAAGTCAGGAAGATACCACAGCTACAGACCTGAATTAGGGAAGCAACAGAGTCTGGATGGTCGCAGCAGGTACACAGAAGGAAGCAGGCTGGAGAACAGCATGAGTTCGAATATACAGTATTGACTTAAGAATCCCTCTCAATAATATAATAGCAAATAGCTTATCACTAACTAGCTAATCTTCAAGGTGACCTCCAAAAGGGCCATAGAATGTGACAAAAATCTTTCTTGTGGGAGGCTTCAAATAAAACTGTTTGCATCTAGATGTGAAGTGGCTTTAGCTATTGTGTTCTGGACTCAATGGTAAGTATAAGCCAAACTGTCACAGAAAGATAGTTTTCACCAGAGAAGAGCATTTCTTGACAAAAAATTGTTCCCAGGTCCGGGACACTAGAAGCAACATGGAACATGGGAGATACCTCCCTCTACTCTGCCATAATCTCACTAATGATCTTTGGGGAAATTAATGCCCCTCACTAGCTCTCAGTGTCACCAGTTTGAAACTGATAGTGTTCAGCCAGAGAGTTCCTGAGGCCCATTTTGGTCCTCAGATTCTGCAACGCAGTTACATGCTCCCTCATGGCAGAGGTGCCCAGCACAGCACAGATAATAGCCTTTCTCAGAAGGAAGGTAACATTTTTTGGGTGTCCCAAAAGAACTAGAAAAAAATCCCAAATAGATGCTAAATGTAGGAGACGATCTGACTATCGATGTATTGAATGAAGGCAAAGGAAGGGAATAGATATTAATCAACATCATATTTTTTAAAAAGATAAATAAATGCAAACACTAACAGTATTTGTCAGGACAGGATGATTGATGTGACAACCATCTCAGCAACAATAAAAGTCTGTTGCTCACTCATGTTAGAGTCCAAGGGAACTGGGAGCCAAGGCTGGGTTCCACGCAGTCATTCAGGGATACAAGCCACTTCCAGCTTTTGATGCTGCTAACTTTACCACGTGGTCTCTAAGGTCACCACCAAGAGGGAACAAAGTGCACAGAGGATCAAGTAGAGGGTTTCGTGGCCTAGAAGTGGAATTCATTGGTTCCATTGGACAGAACTCAGTCACATGGCTCCAACCTGACCACAAAGGGTGGGGAAATTTCATCTTTCTGCGGGTCCAGGAGCCAAAAATCGTGCTTTGATGAATACCTAATAATGTCTCCTCCACAAAGACATGCACATAGATTTTGTAATTAGTATTCCTCTTTCTCCATTCATAAGTAACAAATCATCTTTATGCTAATAGCTAACTGTATTAAACATCTATTCTGGGCTAGGTATTGTGCTAAATACTTGACATACTTTATCCAACGGAGTCCTCAGAGTCATCTTGTGAGGTGAATTTCATTATTACCCCCTTTCCCACTTTCCAGGTGAGCAAGCAGAGGCAAAGAACGGTCAAGTAACCTGCTTTGGGTTGCACAGCTAAGTAACCACGAGATTCAAGATTTGAATCTAGTTTCTTCCAAGACAGTGGTTAAGAGCTACTAGTGGCCAGATGGGGAATAATGAGTGCTTGGCAAACTGGAGCTTCTTGCATTGTCAGCTTGCATGAATCTAGAAGAGAGTGGGACCCTCAAGCTCTCATCAGCAGTTTTGCCTCCTGGAGTTGTGGCCGAGGAGATGGTGGTAGAAGGCTGGGAGGTGAATCCTGGCTGAGGACATAGTTGCAAAGGGGGTCATGGAACTCTTGCTGGCCATAACCCCTGCCTTCCAGCCATGTCCCAGGCTCCAGCCTGTTATTTCCTCAGTTCTGGGTCCAGAGGCCATGCCTTCCACCATAATGTTAAACAGCAGGAAGCTTGGAACTGGAGAAAGACAGTGCTAAAGCCTGGCGTGACTGGGTGAACCACGCAGTCTAGGTAAAGTCAGCTGATGGAATTGCTGATCCCAGGGCAGGCAGCCTTTCTTCCAGTGCTCTTTGGCTGGGTTAATATTGTTACTTCTTCTCAAAGCTCCACACTTCATTTCTGTCTCTCTGGCCTTCTACGTTACAACAAACTCCTGGGCAGAGGCATGAAATGGTCCATGAGGCAGAGATCCTTAATCCGGGCACAGCCCAATGGCACCCTGGGTTCATCCTGAGCAGCCACCCCACACCTCTGGCTTCCTAAATATCAGTTCAGGAAAGGAAGAAATTTCTCTGTTACCTCTTTGCTTTAGAGTTGGGGTTCTTGCCTTGGGGATGACTGAAGAAGCCAGGAGGGTCTCAAGAGACTCTGGCAGTAGGTGATTCAGATTCAAGCAATGGCAGCAAAGAAAGTGTGGGTTAAATTATGCCATAGCCACTAACCCCAAGGTGACCTGGGCCACGATAACCCTTGTACTGCAAAATGGCCCCATCTACTAATAGGGCCACACAGGACTTGGCTTAAAAGGCCCCGATGAAATGAATGTGAAGGCATTCTCAAAACTCTGAAGTGCTATACGAGGGACGTTTCTAATAACACTGAAGTGACGACCTCCCATATGTAACTTTCTGGTGTAATTTAATAATTCACCTACAGCGTATTAAAAGAATCTCCAATGCAACCTAGCTAAGAGTGGTGCTAGGCTTCACAGCCATCCTTGGGGAGGAATTCATGGCAGCCAGGGGAAACTGAGCCACAGGTCATGGGGACGGTGTTCTGCCAAGTCAAAGGGCATTACTGCGTGTCATTGTGTTAACTCCGCTGACCTCAGGATGCTGCAGAGAGGAGGAAGTAGAGAGAGGCAACAAGCATAGTGGGAAAAGCTGGAATCAAGGAGGGAGGCTGGTTTTGGGTGTGGATCTGTCTACTTATCCCCTGGGTGACTTTGGACAAGAATTACCCGTTATAGCGGATTTGTAAGGATTTATCGAACAGTGCTTTGTAAACTATCAAGGCACACACAAGTATGATGTTTTTATGGCAAAAAATTTAGTCAGAGAAGTTTATTTGCCTGAGGTCAAATAGTAAATCAGTGGTCAAATTTGGCTAGAATGGCACCCGAATCCCCCTAAACAGCAGTAGTCTACAAACCTGAGGAAATCAACCCCCTTTGAAAGAATGGAAACTGGGTCTGATAACCGGTTGGAAAGTTCAGTACCGGAAGTACTAAATGTTTCGAGGCCTGAGGAGATACATTAATTGTACTTAATCCCATGAACTAAGTTAATATTACTGTCAAATCTTCAGATGCACTCAACAGTCAAAAGACCACTGACCTCCCTGTTTGGCAGGCAGAGTGTTGATAAACACAGAGGGTCCTTGTAATTAACACATAATGTCACAACAAAGGACCTTTGTTTTCTTTATTTTTGTAGATTTCCAACGGGAATTTGGTACAATAGATTTCTTGTGTGGGGGCTCATCGGGGCCGGGAGCGTGAGCGGCAGGAATGCTCTCCACCGCAGTGCCCTCAGGTCGGCCTCCATTGCCCCTCCTTGTCAGTTTTGCCTTGTTTTTCTCTTGGCATTTATAAGGTAAAGGTGACTAGGCTTCTAATGAATTCTTGGTCATACGTAATTGCCAATTTAGTGTGTGGCATTTTTAACATTTAGCCAATTTAGAAATTCTGAAATCATAAAATATGGTTGTTAAGTTCTTTGACTTCAGGGGAAAAAAGGTGCTTTATAAATTCCATCGACCTAAGTTTTTGCAGGCTGAGGATCTGGGGATTCAGTTGTATCAGGCTCTGTTAGCATCTTTGCTTTTGCTTTTTAAAGGGGGAATAACGGACGGCGTCATCTGTGCGTCACCCGACACCTGGAAGGGAAAGGACCTCCTGAGAATCCCTCACGAGCTGTACCAGCCCTGCCCTTTTCCTTCTCCAGATCTGGAGTCCTCAAAGGCACAGCAGCCAAGTTCTGCCCACTGGGCTGTCCCAAGGCCTCCAGAGAGCCATAGTGCAGAGTGTGAGCTCAAACCCAAGCCCAGGCCGGCCAACCTGCGTCATGCCATGGCCACCGTCATCATCACCGGGATTGTGTGTGGGATCGTGTGTCTCATGATGTTGGCGGCCGCCATCTACGGCTGCACCTATGCAGCTATTACAGCCAAATACCATGGGGGACCCTTGGCTCAAACTAATAAGCCTGCAACAACAGAAGGAAAAGAGCTGTTTGACATCTCCCCAGCCTGAGAGCTTTCATCTCAAATAACAATAATTATTTTAGGCCAGAAGAAAGTGTCTGAGTAGGGCTAGTGTGTTCACTGTTACTGCCTCAATTTGTTTTTTGCAAAAGAAAAAAAAAACCTGTCTGTAAAAAAATATTCCTGGGAAGAAATTTATGTTGAGATTTTTTAAATATCATAGAAGAAATAGAGATGATACTTGTGCTCTGTGCCTGAGAAGTTATTACAGTTATTCTATGGGGGGAAAGGCCATACAGAGAGAAAGAGAAGATACCACCTCCTTCAGGTACTCGTTCCTGCAGAGCAGCAGAAATTCAAACACAGGTGCTAGTCAGCCTTCCGGGGAGCTTTATGGTCCACTGGAAGACTGCCCAATCTTCAGTGCCCGGGAAGAAGTGGGTGCTCTTACCCAAGGGGCAAAAAATGCCTCTATAATTCAAGTTCATGCTGGCTCGGTGATACTTTTGGACGTTGTGTATGTTACATATTTAATGGGAGCGTCTGTTGGTTGGGAATTTCATAGCTTGCCACAAAAGTCAGATTATACTTAATTTTCTAAATCAGAAAACCATTTGGGGCTTTCTAGGCCACAGAGGAAGAGGAGGGTTCCATGTCTGGATAATGGGACTCAGGCCCAGGGTCTGGGGAAGTTTTCTGATGCGAGGGTAAATAACATATAAACAAACACAAAGAGGATGGGGAGCCGGAATTTGGGGCACATACTACTGAAAGGCCATATCCACCAGGCGATTGGAACTTTCCATTTATAACTCTCACAGCAGGAATGAATTTAGGGTGGGCTGAGAACGAGATAATGGCTTATGTGTATCTGTATCTATGTACATAGTGCACAGAGTGCATAGACTTGTACAACCACACCCACACATAAACATACTCGGAGCAATCAGTTTACCCACTAATGAATTGCAGCCGTGGCAGCGTGGAAGCCAGCAGCTGTTGACCACCACCCAGACTGTCTACTCAACACTCTGGGATAGGAAGTAAGAAGGAAGTCTGAAGAGAGTGGGAATTATCAAGAGACTTGATATATGTGGCAGCAGCCGTCCTGAACATTATTTAGGCCACGGTTTAAAAAAATCAGGTGTGGCTTGCTTTACTCCACAGACACGGTCTTGAAGAGTTGCATGCAAAGTGAATTTTTGTAAATTGAATCATCATTTTAATGCAGTAGGGGAGCTTGCTATTTAAAGGAACCTTTCATGGAATCTTTCTGTAATGGCAATAATTGGCTCCAGATTTATGCATTTTGTAAATTTGCATTTTCTCATGCAAGATTTTCTTAAAGTGGAATCTGTTTACTCTCTCTCATCATGCTCTATCTCATACCTGTTAGTATTAAAATAATTTTACACAGAGGAGTTAAGGACATGTCAAAAGCAGAGAATGGCAAATATAGGGTCAGCTGTCCCTCCAGAGGCCTTGACAGACATGGCTAATCAATTCCAGCACTCCTCCCAGCTGAGCCCTGATGTACCACAGATGCCTTGTTAAGACAGCACTGTAGGCAACCAGAACTAATCAATGGGAGTTGGTTCAAAGGATAAAACATATTTGCCATTCAGGGTACTGGCTCTACATTCACTCCTTCAGACCATGTAAAAATTGGTCTGGATCCTAAATCAGTAGTCCATTCCCTAACCTGAAAGGTGAATGGGAGGTCCACACATGCAGGAGTATTTTCTCCCTGTCTGATGCAGCCAGAACCTTGCCCAACAGTGTAAAGATGCTGAGGGAAACAGACAGATGAACCGACCACAGCCTCTGCGCAGGACGCACACCACGCACCCCTAATCAACACAGAGGCCATCTCCAGTGCCTACAGTGCTTCACAACCAGGGTGTCCCCAACCCCCAAAGCTAAAGATGGACCATCTTTTTGGAGTAGCAATTTTGCTAAATGACTTTTCTGGGGGAGAAAATGTAAACTTTGATGTTAATTGTTTTTTCTGTACTAAAATAAACCTGGCTATGATAAAGAGAAGATTGAAACATTAGCATGGATTTTAAGATCAAAAAGAGACCCCCGAGAAAGCCAGCTGTTGCCTCGGCTCCAAGCCCTGGTGCCTCCTTTCTGCTCTGCCTCACTGCACTGCTTTAGTGGGCAAGGCTGAGCATCTGGTCTAAGGATGTAGTGATTATGTTCCAGGTGAAAAAGTCTTTCTTTCCCTTGCCCTGGACGTGAGACTTTGGCCAAGAAAGCAGTATGAGAAAGGAAATTTAGAAGATCTTTTTATATGTCATCCCCACTTCACCAAATGTCTCAAGAGCTCGCGCTACGTACCAGGCATGGTGAGAGGTGTTCTCATGAGCATTTGTCATGTAATCCTGGCAATCACCCCTGAGATACTTGAACAGATATTACATAAGCTAGGAACCACTGAGGCCAATAATGCGGGCTTCCTCTCACGGCTGTGATTTAAGACTGCAAGTACAATGCCTGCCAGAGGTTTGGTGACATTACAGGTCAACCCCGTCCCCCTGCCCACAGTGATTACATGAGAGAGCTTCCAATACCACAGAAAACCCTGTACGTGGCTAGAATCCTCACTTGTCAACACCCAGTCCTATTAGATTTCTAAGTACAGATGATAACTCAGGCAAACAGATTCCTGCTCTATGAGTATAGTCTTTAAGAAAAATGATTAAAACGATGCATACGTATATTCATATTTCTATCTTTTGCCTACAGTCCCCACAAACAGCAGTTGGTAATGAAAATAATTACCTACCCTGAAATGTCAACAGTCTCTCAGCACAGAAAAATATAAATCAAATTGTTTAGATTAACAAATGCAGAGTTATCATTTGTTAATACGAGAAATGAAATGTTTTAACTGTAAAAAACATCGCAGATGAAAGACCCAATTTGCAGAGTATTCTGCGAGAACCACAAATTATCTTTCACAACCACTACAGCTCATGAGGGGTAATTTGCAAACGCCTCACAGATTATTTTCAGCTGTTTATTGCTGCTGTCATATTCACAGATTCCCCTATAAAAATGCCCTTCCATGAGAGAGCCTTGCTGAGGGTACGTTGTGAACAAAAACCACATTAACTGTTGATTGTTTCCGAGAAAACTATCTAAAATACAGTTTTTTCATTATATTCAGTGGAATGTATGGCCATAGATTGGTGATTTTTGCTTTGCCAGAGATCACAGATTCATAATAGCAGGACCCGACAGATGCTGTAGCTGTCTGAAGTGAGGCATGTAAAGAGGGAGTATGAAGGATGCCCCTGCCATAGAGATGGTGCAGAAAGACCTGGTGTCAAATCGATACCTGGAAAGATTTTCAACCTAAGGCAAATATCCCTGATCCTGCAGGAAGAATCTATGCTTAAGATGATAAAACGCCACTGGACAACTGAGTGTTCTATTTTTCCTTACAAAAATGGAAGACTGAAAAGTGATTCACATAATTTCCTCCTGAAGATTCATGAAAATCAAATCTTATTACTCGACTTAATCAAGTTACCCTGGAAATAAGACACTCTCATCTTGGATCCTAAATGTCAAAGGAAGTGGCTAAATCAATTTATAAAATAATCTATCTGTAGCACACACTAATTATGCAACTGTTAGAAACCTATAACTTTCTATTGCAGATCAGGACATAATGTTTCTAGTTTGATCGAATCTACCAGTGTATCCATTGCTAAATACTTTTAGAGAGAAACCTACCAGCAAATGATATTGCAACCCCACATGGCATCACTGAAGCTATGCACAACTTCAGGGAACTATCCTGTTTTCCCTTTTGATGAAAATGCTTTTTTTTTTAGTGCTTAAATTGTAAGGAGGTCTCAAAGAAACCCCCATCCTATTCAAAGAAGCAACTTCATAATCCACCACTGTCCTTTCAGATTCTTCACTGGCGTATCCGTACCTACTTTTCACTTTGATGACACTGAATATTCATTTGGATGGATAGGATGTCATCCAGTGACAAAGGCTCATCAAGAAGACCCAGAAAAAGAACGAGAGAATTGGGAATTGGGAAGGTCCTTGGAGAGACGTTAGGCCAGGCCTGGCAAATTTTGGGAGAGCTGTGACGAGCCTCCCTACCCATTTCAGACATTGCTAACAGATTATGGCAAACTTCTTTACTGAGCCCAGCCAAGGTCTCAGAATACTTTTAAATCTGTTTTCTACGTACCCACTACTGATCAACTGGAGCTGATGTGAGATTAAACCTGTTTGCTATCCTGATATAGTTCCATGCCCTTATTTTATAACTGGGAATAGAAGCATGGAAAAGGAAAGGAACTTTCCCAAAGTCACACAGATAATGAAGTGCAGGCCTGATAAATACAGTTATAGGAGCATGGATAATCCAAGCCAATCCCTGCCATTCTTCATTCATTCTGTGTGGACCACAATATCAAGGCTATAACATTGTTACATTAATTATTTGGGTAAAGACACTTATACTACCACCATCAACACTTATTGAGCACCCAATTTGGTGGCAGCTGTTTTCCAAGTGTAATATTTTCATTTTCTCTAATCCTTATATTGATTAAAACATGTGGGCATTTTATTGCCATGTTATAGTGAAGAAATACTATTTGGGTCATTTGTTCAAGGTCACACCATCAGTAAGTAGCGGAGTGGGAATTTGGATGCTGGTCTTCCCAAGGCCAAAACGTGGGCATTTTTCGGGATGTGACAGGTTTGAAGAAGTCAGACTTGGGATCCTTTCCTGGCACTACTAGCATTTACCTTAAAATATGGCAGATAAAACAAACTCAACCACCAATCAGTATGTCACTGCCAGAGCTCTGGTTCCACCAACACCCAGGAAACCAGCTAAAGCCAAGGCAAAATGGGAAAATGAGGGTCCTTGTATCACCGGTGACTCCACTGGACTGGAAAAGATGTTCTCAGAATGGGAGGGGAAGAAACTCAGCGACACTTTCTCACAGCTATTTGAGAAAATGATACAATTAGATGCTGGCTAATAAGTTTCCCATTGGAATACTCATGAATACATAGAAGAAGAAAAAAGTTATGAGGATCCTAAAACTTAGGAATACCAGTCAATGACACCCAAGTCTCCAGGAGGAATGCCCACTATCCAAAGCAAACACAGATGAGTGGGATGTAAAGGAAGAGAGTAATAGCCTACCCATCCTTATGCTGGTATTCCTTCCTCTGAGACAGTGGGCTTCAAAACCCAGAGGGAAGCCACTCCCTCCTACTTGGGTATCTGAGGACGTTTAACTCCTACAAACCTTGCTATTAAGATCTTGCTGTCCTCATCCACTAGAGATGAAGAATCTCAACAATGTAGCATATAATAGGATGATAAAAGGAAGAGGGGGCAATAAGATAAGTACAATCTAGGGGCTATAGTTCTTATTTACTGTTTCTTATAAGAAATGAAAACTACAGATTACTTTGTTTGATCTAGGTTAAGTAGTCAGACTACCAGGCAGCAGGAGGTGGCATCCTCTATCAACCCCGCAAGGCCACACTAAACGGAAGACGTCTAAACACGCCATTTGTCTAGGGGCCATGTATCTCAACTAGCCTTCCATCTTAGTCTCCAGGGAGTACTCTAAAGTCCACAAGAAGGGACACTGAGGGGAAGCCATTTACCCTGTTCACTGGCAAACACAACATATTTTAATTTGAATGATGTTAACACTAAGAAAGAAACCTAACTTGGAGCCCCCTAAAAGATACTTAAAAAAAAAAAAAAAGGAAGAAAGGCAACACTG